ACTTGTGGTTAGCAGTGCAGTACTTATTCTAAAGAACCACCAGGCTCCAGACCTCACATTAAGCAATATTAAAAGCCATATTTTAAAATGATAGTATTCTTCGTGACTTAGCATTAGTGTTCTACAATCAGTTCCTGGTGCACAACACACTTTTTTTTCCCCATACAAAATGCTTGGGAATTACATCCTGTTAAATGCTTTGGGTGTGTTTATGGTCTACCATAGGAGTGGAAGTTTGTCCTGCTGTGGTGGTTTGCATGTTGCTGACTCTGGAAGCTATGTCACTGGTAGCATATGATCAAGAGCTAATGATACTGAAGGAAGAAGTCCAAGGTGTGCTGAAGGTATTGGCAAAGAACAAGGCTCCAGGAATTAATGAACTACAAAATTGAAATTTTTCAATAAACTGATGCAGCACTGGAGGCACTCACTCATCTATGCTAAGAAATTTGGAAGACAACTTCCTGGCCAACTGACTGAAAGAGAGCCATATTTGTGCCCATTCCAAAGAGGTGACCTAATGGAATGCAGAAATCATCGGACGATATCATTAATTTCACATGCAAGTACAATTTTACTAAAGATAATTTAAAAAACAACTGCAACTGTACATTGACAGGGAAATGCCAGAAGGCTAAAACCACATTCAGATGAGGACATGGAATGAGGGATATCACTACTGACATCAGATAGATCTTAGCTGAAAGCAGAGAATACCAGAAAGATGTTTACCTGTGCTTTATTGACTATGCCAAGGTTTTCGATTGTGTGAATCATGAGAAGCTCTGGACAAAATTGCAAAGTATGAGTATTCTGGAACACTTTATTGCACTCATATTGTACATAGACCAAGAGGAAGGTGTCTGAACAGAAAAAAGGAACACCGAATAGTATAAAATTAGGAAAGGTGTGCACCAGGGTTGTATTATTTCACCATACATATTCAATCTTCATTGTTGTGGTTGTTATTAAGTGCTGTGGAGTCGGTTCCAACTCAGAGCTATCCTGTATAAGGGTTTCCAAGGAGTGGCTGGTGATCCTGAGCTGCCACCCTTGGGGTTCAAACCGACCTTGTAGTCCAGTGCATTAACCCATATGCTTAGCAAATAATCCAAGAAATTGGTTTATATGAAGAAGAATGTGACATCAGGATTGAAGCAATACTCACCAGTGGACCAATAAACAACATCCATATAAATGGAGAAAAGACTTCATTTTGCTCAGATCAACCATCAACACTCATGGAAGCAGCAGTCAAGAAATCAAATGATGTAATGCATTAGGCACATCTGCTGCACAAGACTTTTTTCGTGTTCAAGAGCAAAGGTGTCAGTTTGAGGACTAAGGTGTGCCTGACCCAAGCCTTGGCATTTTCAATAGCCTCATATGCATGTGAAAGTTGGACAATGAATAAGGAAGACTGTAGAATTGATGCATTTGAGCTATGGTGTTGGAGGAGAATATTAAAATTACCATGGACTGCCAAAAGAACAAACCAATCTGTGTTGGAAGAAGTACAGTCAGAATGCTCCTTAGAAGCCTGGACAGCCAGACTTTGTTTCTCATACGTTGGACTTACTACCATCAGGGCCAGACTCTTGAGAAGGACATCATGCTTTGTAAAGTGGAGGGTCAGTGTAACAGAGGAAGACATCCAACAAAATGGATTGGCACAGTGGTAGCAGCAATGGTCTCAAGCATAGCAATGATTGTGAGGTTGGTGCAGGACTGGGCAGTGTTTCGTTCTGTTGTGCATAGGGTCACTATGAGTCATCACAGACTCGATGGCACTAACAACAGTATAGGGACTGAAGAGAACAAGACATTTGGACTTTCTTTTTCTCTAGAATTACTATTCTAGCTCAGTCGGACAATTCAAGATCTAGGGGTTCCTGAAGACCCAAGCAGTCATGGAGGATTTCACTTGGTCATTCTCACAATAAAAGCAAAACAACAACAACAACAACAACAAAATTTCTTGCCCTTTGGTACTTTCTTTACTACATCCCGTGGTTTACATCACTAGCTGACGAACCTTTATCACTCAGGTATCCTGTGCAGGCTTCAGGCTATTCAGTTCAAGGAAAACCCTACCTACCATCTATCCATCCATCTATTCATCCATCCATATCTACCATCTATCTATAGCTGTCTATCTATCTATCTATCCATCCATCTACCCATCCATATATCTATCCACACATCATCCATCTCTATCTATCTATCTATCTATCTATCTATCTATCTATCTATCTATCTATCTATCCATCTGTCTATCCATGTATCTATCTCTTGATCTCATTTTGGCATAGGACCAAGCAGTGTTTCATTCTATTGTGCACAGGATCACTATGAGTCAGAGCTGACTCAACAGCACCTAACAACAACATCTATGTGTCATCTCTCTACCTACCTACCATCTGTTTCCCTTTCTATCCATTTATCCATCCATCCATCCATAATCTATCTGATACATAACTGAGAAAAAAGGATAGGTTTGCATAACCATCAATATGAACACTTTTCATTTTCATTTTATTACCTCTACCTCGGATATCAGAGATCCAAGTTGAATAAGCCCATCCCAGTCTAGTGCAATGTACTCTCCAAGATCATGGCAGCAAGGAGCCTCTTGGTCTCTGAAAGATGCAAACGTAGGGCACACATTGAGACACAAAATTGTGGCAAAAGTGCTTTCTTAGGGCACATGCGAATGTCCCCTTGTGTGGCTGAGATCATGGAATGATTCCTACTGTTTACATTTGGAAAGGCTAAATCAATTAAGATATTAGGTCATGGAAAAGTTCTGTGCATACCTACATGCTTGCCTCAATGTACATTCTTTGATACGGGTCTTCGAGTACAAGCATATTCCTTCAAGCTATGCAATTCTCTGTCTATAGGGGTTGGAAAGGGGCTGTATGGCAGCATTCCCACAAAGGAATCCAGAAATATGGTGTCCTCCAGTAAATGACACAGGTTGAACTTACATGTAGTTTATGTTGTTGTTGTTAAGTGCTGTTGAGTCAATTCTGACCCATAGCGACCCTGTATAGGGTTTCCAAGGAGCAGCTGGTGAGCTTGAACCACAAACCTTGCAGTTCAAATGACATAGTTTATAGGAAACTCTATATGCAAATCTGTGTCTACTGCTGTGTTCTGGAAATTAGCTTTTCCTTTCTAAGCTTTGTACAAATTGAGTAACTTTTGGTTGTTGTTAAATTTGGAAAAAGAACCATTGGATTTAAAGTTGGAAGAGAATGAAACTGTAGAGGGAAAAGGAGCAAGTTTTAAAGGAAGATGGCAGCCAATTTCTTTTGTTATGTTATTTTTTATTATTATTTTTTTTTTTCCAAGAACAGTTAACATTTACTGGGCACCTATTGGCCTCAGTCACTTGCATCTAAAGAGCAAAAGCTAATTTACCCCCCGCCCGTGTTCTTTTAAATGGTTAGCTTTATTTCTCAGCTCTGTGAACCATTATTCTACCATTAGCTTCAAGTTCAATTTTAATCATCTAACCCATTATTGTCAACTGCTCCCTGTCCCATGAACAAAAAAATTTGGGTGGGTTGGGGGAGTGGTAAGGCTAGCAGTCGACATTTTGTGTGGATACTTCAAGTAATTGGCCCCAAAGTGAAATTATTGAGTTGGCCATGGTTTATTGTGTTTGAAGGGCATAAAACGTGGAAGAAAATGGCCCCGTGAAAAGGACTGGTATCGAAGACTGTGCGGATGTGTGAGAATCCTCTAACTTCACTTCAATTGGCCTAATATCCTGAGTCACTAGATGGTCAAAAGAGTAGATACAGTACAAAAGGAACAAACCGATGTACATTTATACTAAAACAAAACAAAAGTTTGTACAAGATGAACAGCAAGTGAAATTACTTCTATCAAAAAGAAAATCCCATACAGGTTTCTCTTATACGTACGTGGACATACACACACTCACACATACACAGACATACAAGCAAGGATGTATATTTTGTCATAGAGCTCCTTGGAAATAGACATTCTTAGCAAATATGGATGACAGATCAATTGTAATTTATTTTCTTTTTAACACTGGATCATCATAAAGAAAACTGGTATAAATGAAAAAATCTATCTCAAATATCTACATCTAAAATTTTAGGCAGTGAAAAAGCACTTTGTTGACAAGGAGTGTGGAATGATGGATGTTAATTGTCAGAAACTGCTGAATGCCTTGTTTAGTTGCCACAAACAAATTCACATATCAGAACGAACAATACTGCTAAATATTCCTTTTTTTTTTTCTACCCCGATTTTTTTCTTTCTTTTTTTTTTTTTTTTTCTTCTTTTTGTTAAAACATACTGGGAGAAAGAAAAGAAAAGCTGGAAATCCATACATCTTTCAAAAGTTTGAAATTGAAGCAATATTTAGAACCATAGATGAGGAAGGACGTGGCATTGGTGTAATATACACAATGCACTTTTTTTTTAAATCTGTAATGTACATCAATACTTTACAACAATGCATTAACAAAAGGCAAGAAACATCTTGCTGTACAGAGGAACCCCAATGCAACTTGAAGCCTAGAGTCACAACGGATGAAGAGATTAAACAAAGTGTGAGAAGCCTTTCCCCCCCACAAAGTGTGTAAACGATTCTGTCTTGTGCTTAACGATAACCTTCGCGGTTCACTACCCCAACCCTTCATTCTTCTCTCCCTCCTCCCTTCCTCCATATTCAAAGTAAAGCACGTTACATATGCTGTATAGCTCAAACTAGAACGCTGCTGCTCAAGGTCATATTTCAGACTGGTGTTGCTCTCTACTGACTCCCAAGTGAACATTCAATTCATTTAGCGCTCTAAAATAGCTCATCAGATTGCCTGACTGGTTATCACAGCCTTTCTATGGAACAGGCTTTGACAAACTAAATTTGCAGGGAAAACAAAAAAAAAGAAATGTCTGGTGATCAGCATGCACATGCATGACTCCCGGAGCGTCTCATCCTGCCCGCCCCTCGCTCCTCACACCCAGGAATCGGGGGAGGCTGGGTAGTGGCTTGTTTCATAGTTCAGTTCACTGTAGGGACGGGCAGCTGAGTAGAAGTCGACGTAATTGCCAGTGGACTTGAGTCCCAGGTGCATGGTGTACTCGCTGGCGGGAGGGCGATGGTGGACCTGGTCCTCAAAGAAGGACTCATCGTAATTGCGCGTGGAATTCTGAAACGGCTGGTAGGTCTCGTAATCTTTTCTGCTGGGCTCCTGTGGGACGGGCTGTGCGGAAACCTACACAGAAAAGAAGATGCATGTTGGTTAGTTAGTGTACCCTTGACCTAGCCTGACCTTCCCTTCTCAGAAGAAAAGATTGTGTATATCACCCACACATTCACCACTAGGTCCTTCTAAAAACATTGCAAACTGCGTTTTGGTTTTTCTTTCTAAAACTGGGTCCTGGCAAGGATATAGCCATGGAGAGAGCTAGAGCGGAGAGTGAAGCACCCAGCTGATATGAAGTGACAGCAGACGCACCAGAACGCTCAAACTTGCAGACAGTACCCATTTGACTTAGCCTCGATGGCTTGATAATTAATCACAACTCGAGTTCTGATTATCAAGCCATCGAGGCTAGGTCAAATGGGTACATTCTGCAAGTTTGTACATTATGGTGAGGAAGACAAAAAATAAATAAATACATTTTTTTTTGATAAAGGAAACAACTGTAAATTGCTATAATTGGATGAAGTTGACCTATAATTATGGATACTGTTGTTGGTTGGTAAGTACGGTGGAGTCGGTTCCAACTCATAGCAACCCTGTACAGGATTTCCGAGACTGTAAATCTTTATGGAAGCAGAACACCTCATCTTTCTCTCGCGGAACCGCTGGTAGTTTCAAACTGCTGACCTTAAGCTTTGCAGCCCGACTCTTAACCACTACACTATCAGAGCTGTATAGCTCAAAATACCAACTGAGAGGGAAGGAGTCTTCACTTCAAGCATCAATCCTATCCCCTCTGTAGACAGGGAGGGGAAACTTAGACAATAGCTACCTAAAATGAGGGGGTGAGAAATGACTGGCTTACAGTTTTCAAGAGGGAGTTTAGTTGAAAAGTGTGTGGTGGAAGGTAGAATCCTTACTGAAAAGTTCTCATTTTGTCTAGATGTGTCTGGTGAAAAGAGATGGGGCTAAGACTCTTATGATTCAATAGTGAGTAACTGTTAACATGACTAACTGCAACTGCCACAGCTGTAAAGGTAGAAGTTTTGTAACAAAAACGGGGGAGTAGTTAATCTTATAGTCCAGGAACAGAGGATCCTAGGACCATAAAGGGAGAAGAGCACAAGCAGAATTTGGGACACTATCCAGAGAAGCAGCAGCAACACCAGAGATTGAGGCAAAGTCTTGAGGACATGGAAAGAGAGCAGCTGAAAACTCTAGACTCCTGGACAGAGAGGGACTGAGAGCTGGTGGCCAGGAGGCAGGTTTACAGAATGTGTCCTTTGGTGGTTTAAATGATTATATAATCCTGAATGTTTTTGTGTACAAACAAACAAATTACCAAAACCAGAGGGAATAGAAGCAAATACTATTGAATGATGATGCATGGAGGAGATTCTAATCATTGCAATGAAACAATGGTGTAAAAGCGATGTTCTCTCATGTAAATGATCGCTCAATTCGCAACAAAAACTTAAAAACAAACAACGACAACAAAAAAACCCTGGGTCCTTTCCTGATTATAGAGGAATCAACTAAATGTTTGAGAACACATTTATTATCATCTTTCCTGCGTTTTCAGTATGACCAAGAGGTGTTGCAATCTAAAAACACTGAAACAGTGGAAATGTACAAGGTCTAATAGCCAGGCAAACATCTTCCCTCCACTGCAGAAGGCTGGGGTCAATATGTCCCTGATCTGCTTCCCAGGAGTAGGGTCATTCCATGACATCTACTTAGATCACCAGGTATTGAAGCCTTAGGTGGATATGTAGATAAACACAGAAAAATAAGAGTCCACTCAAAATGTTCTTGTTGTTGTTGTTAAGTGCCGTCGAGTCGGTTCCGACCCATAGCGACCCTGTACAAGGTTTCCGAGGGTATAAATCTTTACGGGAGTAGAAAGCCTCATCTTTCTCCCGCGGAGCGGCTGCTAGTTTCGAACCGCTGACCTTAAGGTTCGCAGCCCAATTCATAACCACTACGCTACGTGTTTCCAACTCGATTCAATTAAGAACTGACTTTAAGAATACTGTAATTCTAACACCTTTGATTATGAGGAAGGGATCTGGTATCTCCAAGCCAACCTCAATGCTCCCTGTTTTCATTGATGGATATAGTCTGATATAAATGACCTTGATCACAGGGGTCTTTGGGACATACGAAATTAGTTCCCTCTGCTTGGCTTTAAAGGATCCCTGGTGGCACAGTGGTTAAAGATCTTGGTTGCTGAAGCTCTTAGCCAAAAGGTAAGTGCTTTAAACTCACCATTATCTCCTTGGGAGAAAGATGAGGCTGACAGGACCTATACAGATTTGCAGTCTTGGAAACCCTGTGGAGCAATTCTACTGTGTCCTATAAAGCTGCTATAAGTTGGAATCATCTTGATAGCAGTGGGTTTGGGTTGCTTGGCTTTGGTGACAGCAAGAATAGCGTTCATGGTTAACGATGCTCATATATCCATTAGCATTTGTGTCTGCAGGATGAGCTATCCCCTTCCCATCTGATTCCCTTGGGTATCCCTGCCCAGTCATCCTATTCCTACAGTGAATAGAACCTCTCCGGACATGCGATGAGGCCCATCTCCAAAGCTAAGCACACACAGGGATGTACAAAGCTCTGCTAATATGTACTAATTGGGGAGGAGGTCTGGTGTGAATTAGAAAACGCTTTGAAAACAATGCTTGATCACTTTCCAATAGATTCAGTAATTCCCTATTAATTTAACTAAGGATCAGCATGGACAATTCCTGTAGAAATTGGTCTTAGTTAATAGTTAACGATTTGTAATTAGCACGTTGTGCGTAAATGAATGCTTCGAACTGCCTGCACATAATTCTTCTCTCAAGTGTGTGAAACTCCCTCTTTTATATGCCATTGATTTACACTAGTAATCGACTTGCTCTTCAAAGAACTGATGAATTTCATCATAGCTGCTCCCCAGTATGTCTCTCACCTCTAGTCAGTGGCTCTGAATGAACTTTCTACCTGCTACAGTACAGGGTCGCTATAAGTCGGAACCGACTCCACGGCACATAACAACAACAACAGTCCTTAAACATAAACATTAGTTGGCCTACAAGCCTGGGGAATGATAGGGATTTGGGGAATTCTGTGATTAAATGTTACTAAGACCATGAATCCTGGTGTGGTGCTGTAGGATAAGCAATGGGAGACTCATTTGAACCTCAAGGTCAGTGGTTCAAACTCACCAGCTGCTCCTCAGAAGCCCTATATAGGATCACTAAGAGTTGGAACCAACTCGATGGCACTTAATAACAACAACATGGCTAGGTCTATAAAACCACATGGATGGACTTAGGTCTTCTTTGAATTGTTATGCACTTTGCCTACCTTTTTCTCTCCTCCAGGACACTATTGCTATCCAAGTGCAAAGAATACCAAGGGCTAGAGTAAGAGGTTTGGAAGAATTACATCGGATTTACTGTGTTCTGGTTTTACTAGGTACCATATTCAACATTTAACAAGTTTTTTTCAGTGTGACCCATAAATTAATATGTATGTATGTTCGTATCTATCTGCAGTGTAGTGGATTGCAGCATGTAGCTCTTTTACTCATAGTCTCTGTAACTCCCACCAAACAATTTTTTCTTGATGAATTTGGACAAGCAAAGGTAGGAAAAGATGCTGATAGGATGAATTGATTAAGTATTCACTGTGGCTGTAAAAACTTGGAATTCTAACATGGGTTTAAAATGAGCCATTTCAAAAGCAGGAGGGGGAATTTCACTACCATCAAAAAAGAGCTAGGAGCGGAGCATGTTCTTTGGATCCTGAGACCCTTGCACATTGAACTTCCTCGATCCAGAGACAGAAAGCTGTGACCCCAGAGGAGGGTCAGCAGCAGTTGAGCACAACACAGAGCGGTGGGCTTCTCAGTCCATGAGCAAGCAAGCAAAGCCAAGTGACTCTGAGCCAGAGGCTTGCTTGTAGAGTGGGGTGCCTCCAGGCAATTAACTAGGGGAGCTATGTTTGCAGACTCACAGAGCTAGAGCCAAATGCCTTCAGACTGAGGTTTATGGTGGAGAGGTATGTCTTGTGGGCATTTCTCAGCTGTCCTAAAAGAGCTTGGTAACACTAGTTGGCAGAGAGAGGCCTGCCAGTGGACATGGCTGAGGAAAAGTTACCCTGACTACAACAACTGAGAATTTTCTGATATCGCATTGTAATCTGTTAACGTCCCTAATAAAACCCTTAACTGTGAGTATAGCGTTTGAGTTCTGTGTGACCACTGCAATGAATTGTGGGACCTAGCAGAGTAGAGAAGGCTGTGGGAAGAATGTTTGGTGCCATCATTTTTATGCACCATCTCCACCACCCAACTGTTGGTCAGTTTGTAGTCTGGTGGTGGCCTGTGTGTTGCTATGAGGAGGCTTCAAAACATTCCTGGAAACATTCCATTATCTTTTCATTCAATTTTTCCATGACATTCTGGAAGTTCCTTTGTATAATGCTAGAAGCTATGCTACTAGCATTTCAAATATGACCAGGGTCACTCATGGTGGTCAGGTGTCAGTGGAGTTCCAGACTAAGATTAAGACCAAAAGCCTGATGATCTATCTATACTTCCAAAAATCAGCCAAAGAAAACCCTATGGATTACAACGGAATATTTCTCAATATAGGGCTGTTGGAAGATGAATTGCCAAGGTTGGAAGGCAATCAGAATTTGCAGTGACTATTACAGTAAATTGGACCACACTACCAACTGTGAAGCTGGAATAGGACTGGGCAACATTCCTTCTGTTATACAAGGGCTACCATGAGCTGGCGCTAACTCAATGGCAGTAACATCCATCCATCCATCCATCCATCCATCCATCCAAACATTCATCTATCCAAACATCCACCCATCCATCCAAACACCCACCCATTCATCCATCCATCCATCCATCCATCCAAACATCCTCCATCCATCCAATTTCCACTTTATAGACGAGGAAACTGAGGCTCAGAGAAGCTAAGAAACTCCTTCAAGTTGTTATGGCAAGTGAGTCTCATGAAGCTGGAAGCTGAAGACACCAGGAGCCTGACTACCACATCTCCCCA